CGGTGAGGCGGGCACTCCGCACCTTTCCTGCCCGCGGCTCGCGGTGTGCCTGCGGGGATGGATGCTGAGACAGCCGCTGTAAAGGCCCTGCTGCCGGTTTGTCGGGTTCCCCACCACTCACAATTTTTGTTGTTGTTGTTGTTTTAAGGTGGCTTCTCAGGGTTGTATGGGTGAACTTTTTTCTCTTTTTCTTTTTCTGGGTTGAACTAACCGGGAAGATGACATACCATGCTTGTGCAATTATTGTTGGTTTTATTCCTTAATTTTAACAGTTCTTTGATAATGCTCTAGTAGCATCAGTCACGTTTTAGAGTTAGTGAAAAGCTGTAATCCGGAGGCTTGGTTAGAAGGTAGGGTAAAAAAAATTACGTTGTTGGCACACTGATTTAAATTATACAGAGTGAAAAGTGATGCTTGTTAATAATCTGTCTGGTTTAGGCATGGCTAAGTTAAGGTCCTCTTCTCCCCTCGCTAGACGGCTATTTAGAAAAGGCTGTAATGGGATGAATTCATAGGGATTCAGCTGTTTTTACAGTGGGGTAAAACTGCGTAATGGGCAAGATGCTTCCACTTTTGCCTTTTGTCCACTGTGATTTATGAGTTCATCATTATTCAGTTTCTTAGGAGCTGCATTTCTGAGGAATCAAATTGGGATCTTTGTTGTCTGTGGTGGTATAGAATCAGTTACAAGGTATGCTGAGCTACTAGTTTTAGAGACAGGAGCTAAACTAAAGATCTGTAGAGCTTTAGCAGTATATAAGGAAACTTTCATAGGTAATTTTAATTTTCTCCTCACTCCTTGGATAATGATAAGCTAATGATATGAGGCTTGTGTTAACTGTGGGGAATAAAAGAAGTGTATTGTATTTACACTGTGTCTGTTCCACATTTACTGATTCTTTTGTCTGTCTCTAGTTGCTCTGTACTTTGAGAAGACTAATATTTCCAAATACTTGTATGCAAGTGACAGGTGGTATAAAGACAGAACCGTGTAACTCAAATTATGTGGGTAGCCTGGACACTGCTGAGTTATTTCATACCTTTATCAACTTCTTTCTGAACTGTGGACCTTTATCTTACTTGTAATTATAACCTTTTCTGGCAAAGTCAGTGTTTTATTCACACATTCTTTTTATATATATATTCCCCCCCATTTCTAGGAACACAGTAAAACATTTGTTATGTTAGGATCAGCTTATATTGAGGGTCTGCTGAATTTCTTCCCTTTCACGCTCCCTCAGATTTGGCTCCCATGTATACAATAAATAGTTCAGAATTCAACAAGAGAGAATACCAAGTTTTGTATTATTAGCACATAAAATGACAAAAAATATTGTTCAGAAAATTAATCAATAAATAGAATTCTAAGTTCATCTTCCTGATGATCTAATCAGACCCAATCCCTCTTCTCTGAACCAAACTACCTTTCTGCTTCCCCCTAGAAGATCCTATAGGTGTTGTAGTGGCTGCTTTTCTAAGAGGTGCTATATAATTTGCTCAGAGTTTTTCATAAAATAGTTTTTGAAGAGATGAAAGAAAAAAAAAGTCAAAGGTAGGTGAATGACTGGTCTATATTAAACTATGCCTCTCGGAAAATTTATGACTTGGTCAAAATTCACTTGTTTTCATCAAGAAGGCTGGCAAGCTATAGCCTTAGGAACTGGTTGTGAGTTGGTATCTGTCATTTTTGCAGAGGGGAAAAAGCACGTTGTCACAGAGTTGGGCCTATTTATATAGGTAGGTTAAATGAAAAGTACTTAAACTTTATATTAAAACCTCAGATTAATGAAGAATTTCTTGCAGAAAATGTATTCTGTTTAGAAGGATTACTCACTAATAATTTTTCTTTTTTATTTATTTGATTTTATTCTTAGGGACAGTTGCTTGCTTAAGTAAGATCTCCTAAGGATAACATTCTCTGATCTCCAAAGATGTCAGCTGTTGCAGGTAATCCGAAGTTAGTATTTGATATGTTAATTTTGCTAACAGATGCATTCACCTGGTGCTATTGATTATTATTTATATGAATTTAATGTATTTAGAGAAGTTTGTGGGGTCTATGTTATTAGACTTCAGATTTGAAGAAAAAGTTCTTTTATACAATAAGGTTTTGTTTCTCAGATAAAAACTAAACCAAAAGCAGATTAGTCAAGGAAATTACTTGGTTTTCAATATTTTGAAAATATGCTTCACATATCAACTCTTTGATGCTGAGTAACAGTGGGCATTTAAGAAAACAAATATACCCGTTTCATACCATTTGTAATGAGGATTGTATTTTTCCATATTGTACACTTGTGTTCCATAAGCATATTATAGTATCTGGTGTTCTTGGACAAAAATCTGTTATTTTCTGGGGCTAGGGGGAGGAAGACGTTTCTTGTTATGCCTTTCTGACCTGGCTCTGAAATAGTAGTACGCACTTGGCATGCTGCGGTATGTGTTAATTATTCTTTTAAACCCTGGAGATTGGGTTCTAGAACACAACCTGAAATTCACACAGATGGATATTAGGATGTAAAGAGGCAAATTCCTGCCAAAGATTCGCTTATGTAACCCAAGCTTCTGGGAAATATTTGCTTCATTTTTTTTTCAGGTCTGAAGAATGGCTTGTGCTTGCAAAAGCTTTGGTTCTTTGTGTTCAGACCTTGAAGCTCTGGTTCTGCATAGGAGGGAGATCTGTGTGCATGAAATGCATTTTTTTGCTAATGTCCTTATTTCCATCTTTAGAAGAGCTTTACTTACTGAGGTTAATGTTGCTTCTCACATGTAAATGCTTCCCATTAAAAATGTTCTAATGTTGTGCTCACCTTGGAACTGGCTGCAGTACTTGTCTTCACTGTAACGCTTCCAGTTTTAATGTCAGGGCTGATGCAGTATGCTTCTCATTGCTTAACATGCATCTGCAGAAAAGAAAATAGTTTCAAGTGTTTCTCTGGAGAGGCACTCCTTTTGAGAAACTGGATTGTGATACATTTTTTTCTATATTAATCAACTCAGACAATGATAATGTTGCATATTTCTCATACACCATATTGGAGATGACAATTTACAGTATACTGGTGTATATATATGACACATGTATATGTATTTAAGAAATTGCTAAGTATTTTTAGATGGCATATATAATATTAGCTGCTAAAATCTTAGGCTGACTGTTTGTCTAGATGCTTTTGGTTTGTGTTTAATTTTGATTGTTCTCTATCAAAAAATGAAATAAAGTATTCTTTGAAAGTGGGGTTAGCAATTTACTGTAGTCTCTATTCTGTCTTCACCTTTTTCCTTCAGTGCTAGAGGATGTACTGGTTTCCATTGAAAATGAGCTGCAGGCAGTGGAGATGCAGATTCAGGAGCTTGTGGATAAACAGCAGGAACTCCTTCAAAAGAAGATGAGGGTAAAAAGTCTGATAAAGCAGTCCTCAGGAGACTCAGAGGCAGGTGGAAGTAAAGACACTGAAACCTCAGCCGAGGCATGGAACAAAAAAGGTTTGCAGAGTCAAATTTGAATATTCTAACATAGAAGTAAACTAATCCAGTAAAGGGAAAATGTGTTTGTGTAGAGTTTTATTTGGATAATGATATTTTCCTATTTCATTTTGTTCAGCTGAGTGACTTGCCCTCTTAGTTACACAGGGTAATATTTGTACTGAACTTCCTGGACATTCCTAAATACTAATCTGAGTTGTTCAGGGCAGAATTATCACAAGAATGGCCTGTTACAGCTACTTTTATGCTCTTCTTGTTGCAGTCACAAGTTGATTTGATTTGCTGTAAGAACCCCAGAGTAAATCTGGATATATTGCAATATTCATATTCCCTGTTTATGTTCTAACAATAACTGCTGTGTGTATTTTCAGGATTTGACAATAACAGTCTTGCACTCTCAAAGTTACTTCTCACTGTCTTTGTGTTTCTTCTTGCTTGAGTGGGAAGGATGTTGGTTGTGTCTGCCATGGATTACGTAGCCCCACCATCTCACCAAATTATGCAGATTAGATGGATGCTGACTGTCAAAGAAAATGTAGAATACATTAGTATGTTAGTTAGCCCAAGTGGCAAGCACCCCATGGTGGTGTGAGGGCTACTGTTCTTTTGGAAGCCCTGTCTTTCCAGTTAAACACTAATGGAAGTCCTGGATGGTTGGTGGGTCTTGACCATGTTATGCCTAGCCATTTTTTTGTTTGGTTGTTTTTTTTCCTTTCCTCCTCCTCTTTTACTTCACTTGCAATTTGGAGATACATTGTTAGTTTCTGCCAGTATGTATTGCATGTATTCTCTTTTTTTTGGCTTTTTTAAAAGTGAAATTAGTTTTGTAGCCTAATCCATGTTTGTGTTTGAGAAAAGTATTATGCATATGTAAGGACACCGATACTTTATAATTGCAAATTGATGCTATTGAACACATTGATTTGTTTTGGGTGATTTTGTGCCTAATTCTCTCTTCCTATGCTTTAAAAACTAACATCTTTGCAATCAGATGCTGTGTACACGTTGAATAAGAGCAGTAGCTAAATTTGGTCTCAGTATAAAGCTCACTCAAGTTAGTGGGTGGCTTTTCTTGGTTTCAGAGAGCCTTGGATCTGGCTGTGATCTTTGTAAATTAGGAAGCAATGTCACCTCAGGTCCCAAAGTTAATTCTTGCATTGTATGTGGTGTACTCTGGAGTTCCCACAGTTCTTCTGCATTCTGATTTTAATAATAGGAAAATGGTTGATATGCTTCCCGATGCATCTGAAATTTAAGTTTTTTACAGTATTATCTCTTTAAATGATGTAGTCTTTAGCTCTTTATTGAAGAAAAGAAAAAGCTATTTAAAAAAAGCTAAGTACATTGGGGTGATTATTCTTAGGAAGGTTAAACTTCCCCTGCCCCTTTTTTCTTTTTAGAAAAATGCTTATTATCTCTCAAATATATGGAAAAAATGGTAGTCTTGCCTTCATTACATTATATGTATTACTGCATTTGTGTGAAGGAAGCATTTGGGCAACGTAGTAGTGAGATTATCTTAGGTCTTAGTCACTGGATGTGCTTCTTATTTCCATTTATTTTTGAACTATCCAGTTAACCTGATCATTGGCACTTTGAAGATCTTTATTTGCTTGTGAGTTTTTTAGCATTAGTTCACATTTATGTGCAATGAGAGCCTTTAGTCTAGAGGTGGATTATGGTTACATTTCCTAGGGTTTTCAGAGGTCCACCTTGGAAATTAATTTATAAAGACTTAGGTTGTGTGTAGCTTTTTTTGTGTGCCATTCTTGAATCTTTAAACATTTTTCCAGATCTAAAATTATGTTGCTTCTAGATTTAGTTACTGTATATGTAAATTGCCCTTTCTTCCTATATTTTAACTGGTTATGAAACATGTTTGGTTTTTTTCCCTTAACAGATTTTCCATGGTATGAGAAGATAAAAATTGCACTGCAGGACAAGTTTAAACTCCAGAAATTTAGGTCCTTGCAACTTGAAACAGTAAATGCTGCAATGGCAGGAAAGGACATATTTCTTGTCATGCCTACAGGTGGTGGAAAGAGCCTTTGCTATCAGTTACCAGCTGTCTGTTCTGATGGTATGTAATCGAAGAAAAGGTCATATATAAACAATAGGATTTATTTTCTCCCTTTTATAGTTATTTGGAGAATTCACCAGTAGGGGGGAAAAAAAAGCAAAGAAATGAGAGAAAGATTTACTAGAAATATTTGCTTTGTTCTCTTTATTTTCTCTGAAGATGCAATAGCAGCTTTAAAATAGATGTGCCTGTTAGATGTGATTTAGATTTAAATAGTTTATCTAGGTTCTTTTCAATATGTCAATATGTTCTTTTCAATATATTAAATGCTGAAAGAATTTTTTAAAGTTTGGCACTTTTTTTTTTCTTTCCCTTTTAATTCGATATACAGACTGTAAATTATTTAAGTATGGATATCTGTTATTTGTCTGTTCTACTCCAAAGTTTTAGCTTCAGATTTTTTTGGAGAGACTTTGTGTAATACTTTTTAGAAGTATCCAGTTTTAGTTTTTAAGCATTTTTTAAAAAAATAACCCATCCAATTGCATGGAAGTTTACTTATTTACCAAGACCAGATTTATCAATGCCTAGGATTGCTTAGTTGTGTGGTAAATTATCACCTCATGACACAGATGTGAATCCAACTTTCTTTGGTTTGTATATTAGTTCTTATACTCTGTTTCAGCTCCATCTGTTTTGGTCTGGATTCTAAGAGAAGGTGCACGTCACTGTTGATAAAAAGTATCTCTTTGTGACCTAGCACTCACTCATCAGCTATCTAGGAGGGGAATCTGCTACTATGTATAAAGCTTAAGCTCCTGTTTGGCAGTTCCTTCTGAACAAGGCTGATACATTAGTAAAAAGTATTAGAAGAGGTATTTGTGACATCCAAACAGTTCAGTTTGCACAATGGTTGATTGTTACAGGTTTCACACTTGTGATATGTCCTTTGATATCACTTATGGAAGATCAGCTCATGGTTTTGGAACAGCTTGGTATTTCTGCAACTTTATTAAATGCCTCAAGCAGTAAGGTATGTTTAACTGCCAATTCTTCATGGGTTTTGTGGTGTATGTGCCAGTGTCTTGCCTGTGTATGTTACGTATGAATGGAATGAATGACATAGTTTTATCAGCTAATGCCATTCTATCAGCAGTATCTTGACAGCTACATGCTGTGATATGGATAATGTGCATAAGTATCTTGCATTCTTGTTTTAATGACAAGAACACATGTAAAGCAACACTTTTCATGGAATAAATAGATTTCACAGGGCTGTTTAAAAGATGTGAACTATGTCTGTCTGGAGTGTGTTGTAGACTTTTACTGAGTTTCTAGACTTAAAAGGTTGGAGTATGTGATTTTTGTCCATTAGTAACACGTTGATCAGGGTAGGCTTTTACATTTAATTATTATCTTACTTTAGGATGTAAGCTGTTTGATCTAGAGGCTAAAAAGCAATTTATTTCCCAGTCTGTTATTAGTCAGTTACTTTTTACAGTAAAATATATTTCCCTGAATACCAGGAGGCTGTGTGACACTGGATTTAATACATTAGTGGCTTGATGCAGTGTGCCAAACTTGGAGTCTCCTTTGAGGTAGAGCACTTTGAAAACTCAGTAATAAAGACTAAGTTCTGTATGAAAAATTCTTTTACACTTGTAGTACCACAGGCATGTTTGGTACATTATAGTTTATTGGGAAAATACTGATACCACATGATGAAGCAAAAGTTCAGTAGTTTGCTTTTTCAAAGTTCTGTGACAGCTTTTCCAAGTGTTAGAATTAACATCTTATATAGAATGATCATCCACAACGACTTACAACAGTGGTAAATACTGTATAACAGTTTGCCAGTCTTTGTTAATTACCCTCTATGAATTTACTGGTAAGAATCTTAGCACTAAGCAACTTCAGTGTGTTGCCCTACTTTGTTAGTCCCTGATTTCTCCTTTTGTTTTCAACAGGAACATGTGAAGTGGGTCCATAATGAAATGCTAGACAGAAATTCGCAACTGAAGCTCATTTATGTGACCCCGGAGAAGATTGCAAAAAGCAAAATGTTCATGTCAAAGCTAGAGAAAGCTTATCAAGCAGGGCGTCTTGCTCGCATTGCTGTAGATGAGGTCCATTGCTGTAGTCAATGGGGCCATGACTTCAGGCCTGGTATGCTCATTAGAAATCTAGTTTGCAGTGTTATGCAGGCACCAATAAATAATATGTTAGCCCTGAAATAAATCCAGGAGCTTTCTTCATGTGTTAGGTAAATACTTAGTGTATGGCAAGTACCTGTGTTAGCTCAAGGATTTTAAATTTAATTCACACATAACTACATCCTTGTCCAGGAGCTAAATTCATGCAAATGAGGGTGATTTCAATGTTGACTTTGCTATCAGTATTCTGAAAGACTCTTAAATCGGTTTAATTTGAGTTTAATAAAGCAAGTATTTTTGGCTCTTATCTTTAATATGAACAGTAAAGTAATCTTTAATCTACTGCTACAGGAAAAAGTGTTTCTGTACACTGCTCCCTTACACTCTGGGTGACAGACATAGAGCATATTGTAATTCATGTGATACATTTTCATCACTTCTAAAACAAGTTGAAACAAATGACCTTGACTTGCGGGGAAAGTGTTGTAGAAGACACTTATTTTCTGGTTACTGTCTCTTTGCCTTTGAAAGAAAACCTGATTTGAAGCAGTAGTAACTGTGAAGTCAATGGTTTTGTTAAAATATGGTGTCTGAGCAAAGAGCCATGCCAGTTAAACTGACAATGTGGAGTTTGGATATGAACCTCTGGCTGCATTTCTGTTCTAAGGCAGCAAGTGATTGTCAGCACTGAGCCCTTAAAATCTTTCCTTAGTACAGTCTGGTCTGTGTATCCAAATTCTACATTGCTTGTTTATTAGTAAAGCCGTGTTTACTGACAAGCTGTTTGTAAAAACAGACCTGCAAAATAACTTGAATGTTGGTTACTACAATGCCACTTATATTTTTCCAACTTTTTAAGAACTTTTGTTTCAATATATTTTGCTTTCTGAATTATGTCTGCTTTTAGAAAATTTAATTAGAAGACAAAGCATCTATTTTGATAAGTACAACCTTTTCATTCCTTCATTTGGATGTATAAATTAGTTCTGTAGTAAACTGGTCATTAACAACATTTATTGCAGTATTACCCCATTGAATGCTATCTACATTAATATCTTTTTTAACTTTGGATCTATAGTATGAGAAATATTTCTCTTTCCCCTTTTTGTTTTCTTGCTTAGACTATAAGTCTCTTGGTATCTTGAAAAGACAGTTTCCCAATGCTCCCTTGATTGGATTGACAGCAACTGCTACAAATCATGTTTTAAAGGATGCTCAGAAAATTTTGCATGTTCAGAAGTGCATTACCTTTACTGCATCTTTCAACCGGCCCAGTCTTTACTATGAGGTATGTTTTACTACCAGTTTGTTTGGCTGCATCACAGTCATATTATCTTCTGCAGGTGAAATGCTGGGGTTTCAACCCCAAGCCCCAAATTAAGGTTGACATAGGGGTGATTCCCACAGCCCTTCACAAAGGGGGGTGAGTTTACCTCTAAGCTTCCCTCCAGGGTGGTGCCGGCCTTGCAGGGAGAGCCATTAGGTAAACGAGCCCCAGGTGTCCCACATTAAGTAAACAAGGGTCAGGTGTCCCACTTGGGGATAAAAGCTGGGACCCCTTGCAGGAAGGGGCAGTGTCTGTCTGTGGGGTGGATGCACTTTGCAGAGTTTCCTGTTGGGGAAGGACCTCCTGCCTCCCTGGGACTGGGCTCCAGTCAGGTCTGGCTTTTGTAAATGTGGGCTGTGTAAAGATTCAGTATGTGGCTTCCTTGGTCTTATGTATTTGGCTTGTTGGCTCAGTTGTCTCCTGTCTCTTCTATGGGAAACTGCATTTCACCATTTATTCCACTTGTTGGTTGTGTGGTGTCATTGTTGGGGTCAGTGGGATCGATGTTGATTATGTATAATCTGACTGACTTGTTTGTACCCCTAGTGCTCACCCATGTACTGACCCTTTTGTATCAAATACAATTTGGTTATTGGTTCATCTTTATGCTGGCTGTGTCCTTTGTGCTAGGCTTAATAATTGGCAAAACAGCAGGTTACAGTTGATGAATTTTAGAGTAGATTTCCAATTATATATTTTAGTAATAAACAACTTTTCAACTGAATGGTGTTCTTTCATGACTTCACCTTACTGAACTTGATGTCATCTGCAGAGGAACTTGATCTGCTCTGTCTTTGTGAGCAAGGATTAGCAGATAGGGCTGTGTACTGGGTAGAGATGGGTAGCAAGCTCAGACTGCTTCCAAACTGTTGGAAAATAAGTAATGATTGCTAAAAGCTGTGAATTCTGTGTTGTATTTTATTTTCAGTTTGACCACAGTTTCTTTTAATGTTCTTCATGGAAAAACTTGTGTCCTTTTTTTTCTATGAATATTTGACATGTAATCTGACTACACAAATGGCAGAATAGTTGTGTTTATTGTACTGGAAGAAGTAGAGTAATAGGGTTGTTTGACAGATTGTGTGTCCATTTGAAGAACTCTCTAGCATGTGTTTATTATGTTTTTGAGGTTCGACACAAACCTTCAAATAATGAAGATTTCATTGAGGACATAGTTAAGATCATTAATGGAAGATACAAAGGACTCTCAGGTAAAAAGTGTGGAGATTTTTTATAGTATTCAGTGTTACAGGGATGGCTTCAAGTGATTCTGAAATGCATAGAGAAGTTCTACCTTCACCATAGACTAAATATCCAGCATTAGAAGAAGTAAAATTTAACAAGATTTGTACTTTGAATAATTACTCTTTTAATTCATTAGTGTTTAAATGTCTTTACAGTTTACTTATATCTTCTGAAGTATGAAATCAATGTTGATGTATATAGAACAATGTTTACATACATAAGAATAATTGCAATTTTTAAGATTGTAAAAAACAAGGCTCAAAAAAGGTTATCTACATTTTCATAGATCACATATGTCATTTAGTATCTGTCAGAATACTTACTATCTTTAACATTTCTTTTTCATATTTGATCATAAGATTCATGTATTATTCAGTGCCCAGAATGAGTGTGTGGTGGGATGAATTGCACTTTTGTGATGAAAGCAAAACTGTAAAAGTTGCACTTTGTGTAATCAATAAATTATGTAGTACAAATAAAGAGGAGAGCCATATTACAAAGGCAACAGAACCCAATTTTCCAGAGCAGCATTTTTTCTCTGTAGTGGAACTCTGTGGCTCTGATAAGCAGCTCCCTGAGTACAAACTGTGTTGAGATGATCACAGATCTCATGGCTTTGTGTGTAATCCTTGGCTTAGCCCAGACTGACTAATGACAAAAAGCAGATTTAATTGAAACCTTAGGTGAGATGTCATAGATGTCATAAGCAACAGCATTCCTTTACGTAAGCATTAATAGCCATTGTCCTCCTTCAACATTAATAGAATACTTCAATGATTACGTGGATTGGCACCCATATTTTCTTCAGCCTACAAGTCAAAGCTGGTAATCGAAGTTCCCTTCATGGCTACCAATACTGCAGACTGAAGAGGCACAGAAATTATTTACTGTTTTTTATTTATTTAATAAAACTTTCAAAGTTGTTTTTAAGTATTGGGGCTTGTTTGGTTTTGTGAAGACATTACAATAAGGCATCTTTCACTTTTGTGCAGGGATTGTTTACTGTTTTTCTCAGAAGGATTCTGAGCAAGTTACTGTGAGTTTGCAGAAACTGGGAATCAAGGCAGGGACTTACCATGCAAACATGGATCCTAAATATAAGACTAAGATTCATAAAGGATGGGCAGCAAATCAAATCCAGGTGAAGTAGATACTTCTTATAGACATGTCTCATTTAAACAAATTGTGTTTTGGTACCTTGATGATTTCTTAATCTTTTTCTCAGGTTGTAGTGGCAACTGTTGCTTTTGGCATGGGAATTGATAAACCTGATGTGAGGTTTGTAATTCATCATTCTATGAGCAAATCCATGGAGAACTACTACCAAGAGAGTGGACGTGCAGGTATTGTAGACAATTTGCAAAGTCACCATTTCCATCCGTTAAAACAATAAAATTGTACTTTGATTTCAGCCATTTGTGCAAAGTGTCTTGTCTTTGAGGCAAGTTCCAAAGTGTGTAATGGCACTCTGCCTTTGTAAAGAGGCTTTAAAGCAAATTATAAATAACGTTCATAATCTCAGACTTCTGTACTGCAGTGTATCAAAGAATAACTGGATATCTAGCCCTTTACTCAGCATTTTTTTTAATTACTTGATTTTTGTGACATCTGTAGCTTACCAGAAAAATTTAATAACATGACATTGACTGGGAATATGTTACAGAAAAGATTTCCCCCCCCCCCCCCTTGGCATAGCAACTGGGATGGGTGATTTGCTCAGATTGTCTCTAGATGATAACTAATTGCTGTATGAATTTTAGTGGCCACAGGAATACAAGTAGGGTTAAGAGTTGGGAGTGGGGAATTTCAAGGATTCATCAGTATATAGCAACACTAAACAGCTGTTATAGCTAAAAAAGGGGTTTGTGATGTGTTGGTTTGGCTTGGTGGTTTTGACCTTGTGCATTATTACTTTTTCAAAGACAGATTTGAATCTATGTGGAGGAAGGCCTTTTAAGGACCTTGAGGGGCAACTGGTTGAAATTTTAACTATGCCTGTGTGATAGAAATTACCCTTGATGCTGGCCTAAGAAATACAGTAGTCAAAGTTGGTGGGAGTTTGTATCTGTTTACCCTAGAACCCGGTTATGTCTAGTGCTGGAGGTAACAGGAAGTGTAAATACTGATGTGGTGAGACAAGGGCCATGTAGGTGCTGAAATGGTTGTTTCACAATGTTCAGCAACTTGGGATAATTAAAGCAAGCTTTTGTGTTTCTTTTTCATAACTCGATTCAAATGAGATTCTTCTGGGGAGGGATTAAGCACTACTACTCATTTACCTGAACAAACTACTTAACTTAAGTAAACTTCTTTTTTTCCCCTTGACTGCCCATCCCAGTGAAGTAGTTCCTTTCTGTTATATGTTAAACTTTTTTTAAAAGTTTAGGGTTTTTTAGGCCTTGTCTGCTCTCTGGATCTTGTAAACAGCAGGAAGGCACCCATCAGCACATCACTGGGAGTGGGGGGGGCAACAGGAAGTAAGAGATGAAGGAAGATCAGCTATAGAAGGCACAGTTGATTTAAAATTTAACAAAATATTCCATCATACCTAATTCTCTTTTAATTTATTACCATGAATACCTAATAAGGTATTTGAAGCTCACAGTGTCTTTAAATGAAGTAAGAATTAGGCTTCAAGATGTATTTGGCTGGGATTTTCCAAGAGGTGTTAGGGTGAGAAAATAGTAATTGCACTGACTTTTTGTATGACACTAATGTTTTAGTTGTTTCACTAGTTGTTAGACATTAAGTTTACTTGATTCTGTACTTGTAGAAGATTTCTAAATCTCTTTTATTTATAGTCTGTATCATGCTATGCTCTATTGGCTAACATGTTATTTTTGATACTCTGTAACAGTTATGTACTCTCTATATATGGGCTGCAGAAGCCCATGTAGGTAAGAGTGGAATTTGTGCTGGAAAATGCTATGCTTAAATCTCATCTCAATTTTTTGCTTGTTTTTATGCATTGCAGGTAGAGATGACCAAAAAGCTGACTGCATTTTGTATTACGGTTTTGGAGATATATTCAGAATCAGCTCTATGGTAGTGATGGAAAATGTAGGGCAAGAGAAACTGTATGATATGGTGTCTTACTGCCAAAATATGAACAAGTGAGTTACTGGAGTGGCTCAGTTGCTTAGTTTTTAAATAAGCTGATTTTGTTGGGGTTTTTAGTGGGCATTTGAAACAAAACCAAGAAAACTACCCACAAAACCATCAATAAAACAAAACACCTACAATACTATAGAAACATTATTATTGTAACAGTCTTGAGTTTGGAGTTCATGGTTTGACTGCTTAGGACACGTAGTCTTGCACGTAACAATGTTGATGTGTTACTTGACAGCTTCAGGATGAAGTTCTGGAAGTAGTTACATTGAAGTGAAGTATCTGTCAACAAACGTTGTCTGGATTTCAAATCCCATTCAGAGCAAAAAAATGGAATGCTTTGTCTTTCACTGTAAGGTACCAGTGTTCAATGGCCATACAGGAATCCACATGTGTTTAATGCTTCATCTGCTACACTATTTGGAATACTTCATGGAAAACACCTGTATCTGTGTGTGGACAACTAATGCATTCAGTATAGCCTTTGTTGGCCTTGGTCTGAGAATTAGTTTATATTTTGATGATTTTTCATTCTATTGAAACTGTAGATGATACTTACTTTTTGGCTTTAACCAAACTGTTCCTGCATCAGTGTTTACTGTTACTAACAGCTACTAGTTATTCCTTTTAGCATAATTGACAGGGAATACTGTGTTGCAGTATTTATTTTCTATTTTTCCTGAGATAATTCATGCTTGTTTTAAGATATGGGCTGAGCCAAGGGACCTTCTTTTTGCCCCTCTCATGACTTATAACACAGGTGTATGCACTTACGTTCTATGGTCCCTTTTTTCTCTGTTATTTCAGATGTCGCCGGGTCCTCATAGCCCATCATTTTGATGAAGTATGGGATTCTGCAAACTGCAACAGAATGTGTGATAACTGCTGTAGAGAGAACTGTAAGTAAATTGTTTTCTATAACCAAGGGCAGAGAACATAAAGACAAACTGTAAGCAACTTCTGTAAAGTTTGATGGTAATACTGCCTGTTTCCAAGATGCAAGTTTTGTTACGAACATCAGTTTTCAGTGGCTTAGTGTTGCCAAGTTCAGGGTGTTTTGCAGGATACTTCCTAGTTTGGCTTTTTGCCTGAGGCCAAACGCTTTGGTATCTTTCATGCTCAGCCCTTCACCTGTTCCCAAAAGTGAAGCTGGGGCAAGGGGGAGATTGGCTTACTTCTTTTAGATCTGGTATGTGTCATGTTTTGTTTTAGGACTTGTTTGGGTACAAAAGCCTTGTTTTGAGAAGTCTCTTGCTCTCTGCATACCAAAGTTCATGCTCAGGCTCTAAGAAGGCACAGTTTGCACATGTCCTCTTACAACTTGCTTGGTAAAATCTCAAAGGATTTCAGTGATGCATGCTTAGAGACATACCTGTGTCAGGACTGTGCATGACAGTTGCGCAGAACCACTGAGCACACTAATTCAGGATTTTGCTGTGTGTTAGCTCTAACAGCACAATGTCTCTAGTGTGTGCTCTTCCCTTGGAAGAAATTTGGGATCATAAGAGGAAAGGCATATGGGCCAGATACAGAGGGAACCTGGGTGGTAAGCTAAAAGGAGGGTGGTTTCAGTAGAATGTGGTTCTGGGGTATAAGTTCATTTACTGCTTTGCCCACAAACATCCTGGGCAGTGTTGGGTAGCTAGATTAAACAATCATTGCCTGCTTTAACTGTCATTTTTGGTACCCATCCAGAAAGCTGTAAGTCTGAAGATGAACAAAGTTTCTGTTGCTGCACTTGCTAAGTGAAAGCTGTGGTTTAGACATAGAAAACCCCCATATAAAACCAGAAAGCTCTGAAAAGAGTGCTGAGAAAAAGTTGGTCTTGGGCATCTCTAAGCGGACACACAAATCCACCTTAAATTTCTTTGAGGACCAGGTGAATTCTTGTACTAAGTGGAAAATATCATCGTCTTGTACCACATATATGTTGCAAAGTATCTGGATAATATAAGTGATTAACACTTGAAAAACTTGGAAACCATTCTGTATTCAAAGCTGTTCTCATAACTAGACTTTACTTCCCTGTACATTTTGTGGGGGGATAAAGTAGAGAAAGAAATATTTAACTTCTTTTTAATTTATACAGTTAATTATATCTATATAATAAAACTGTTTTGCAAAATCTGCAAGTAACAATGTATTGTTATCTTCTAGTTGGAAATAGGGCTTTGTTGAAATTTATACTGGGATCAGAGGTTGAGAAAGAGCATGGAGCTGGCTTTGTACCCAAGACTTACGGAGCCATGTGGTGAAATATAGTTGAATATATTCCTGTTTACTGCTGGTTTACCCTCAGGGCTTTTTGATATATAAGAAAGGCCTGAAGAAACATAGCAGTAGTACTAGTTTTTCAGTACTTCTTGGTTTTGGAGGAGGCACTTGGGGTAATGCTATGCCATGATCTGATCATGCAGCAGAAGCATGATCATTATGTAGTGCATGGATGTGTTAGTGCTTGCAATAATTATTCATGGTGAACTAATTTATATCATTAAATGAATACTTTTTTCTGTCTCATTTGGCCCATAAGTGTATTCAGACAAGAAATGTCTTGCATATATTCTTCAATTCCTCTTTGCTCTCTAATCTTTCCATAATAAATATTATGGGTGAGGAAAAGGAATCTAGCTGCAGAGTAACATCGTAGCTACCTTACAAATTTTATGCTTTGTAAATGCTTCTTTGAAGTAATTTGTGTGATTTGTAACATTAAATACATGTAAAAATGTTTGGAGGTTTGGAGTTTTAATAATGAAGTAGAAAGATAAATGTAAATTTGAGTACAAATACATCCTAATTTGACAAAGGGAAAGTTACAGCCTTATATGTTATAGTTTAAAATCAAAACAACAAAAAAAATGCTATTATATGGCACATTGATACAGATATGTATATCTATAAATATATAAATAGATAAAAATGCATATATACTTATACACCTGATGTATATATGGATACTATCTAAATAACTGTAAATAACTTGCTGTTTAAATATTACTTCCCTTCTATTTGTAGCATGTGAGAAAGTGAATATAACAGGATACTGCAGGGACCTAATCAAGATACTTGAGCAAGCCGAAAACATGAGTGAGAAACTCACCCCACTGAAATTAATTGATGCATGGTCTGGGAAAGGTGTATCAAAATTCAGGGTGGCTGAAGTTACTTCACCAAAGCATCCTCGAGAGGAACTGGAGAGAATTATTGCCCATTTACTACTGCAGCAGTATCTGAAGTACGTAAGATGATGACTACTTTTTTTTTGATATCTAGTAGTCATTTGTCTCTACTCTCATACTACTTCTGTATAGTATTAATGGATAGATTCTGTAGTCTCATTTTTAGCCTTTTTCAGATGCATTTAATGTATTTAAAAAACCTTGAAAGATTACTACATTTCTGCTTTAATATGTTAAAACAGAAGTCAGAGGAACATTGGAAATGCTGCATGTCTTACCATTTTAAAAAGCTGGGGTCTTCTCTATTCAGATTGAACCTTTAAATCTGTAGCAGACTTCATTCTGGAGAAGTCTGCTGTTTATGTGGAGTCTCATTTACATTCCATGGATAAACAAAGCAAATGGGGTTGCCCAGATGGAGTCTAAGGCAGGACAGGCTGGCTAATGTGGAAAGTGGTACTCAGAAACTTTAAGAAATGATACTGAAAATAACATTTTCTTCTCTTGTAACCTGACTATCTGTGTGGTATGCTTTTTGTCTTTTTATACTGGTTTAGAAGCTTCAAGAATATGTACAGATCAAATATTTAATCCCTTTGCTTTGGTCTCAAATTTTTTTTTAGCATCTGTTTGTGCAGCTGACTATTTATACTCTTAAGAGGGTGACATTATTACATTTTCCTCATTTTCCTCCATGTATTCCAACTGATTGAAATGTGTCTGTGTGTGTGTAAAGGTCCATAAACCAAATTATGTTGTTGACCAGACTTGCTCTAAATTAATTGACTATCACTTCAATAGATAAAGCAGAATCAACCTGCTATTGCAGTCAGAATGGTTAATGTGTCCCATTCCCCCTCTGCATGGTCTAGCCTGTCTTTGTCTCCCACTTTCCCTTATAACACTGATTTAATTGATGCAGGGAAGACTTCAGCTTCACGGCATTTGCTACAATATCCTACCTGAAGATAGGACCAAAAGCAGGTCTGCTGAAAAATGAGGCACATGTCATAACTATAGAAGGGATAACAAACAAGAAAAGTGTTTGCAAGGTATTTATATCTATACTGACTTGCTATACAGATATCTTTTCCATTATAGTTTATTTTAATAGTTTGGTATCTGCTCAATATATTTTTTCATAGTGATGCAATCAACAGGATTTAAAATAGATCTCATAAGTATCTTCTCTCTTCTGTGGGAACACAGAAAAAGAATGAAAATAATTTTACAATTTTCATATACTTGTTTTATAACTTACAGGACAAACCATCTCAATCTTCAAATCCAAAAGGAAGCAGAGAAAATGCTCAGACTACTTCAAAGACTGTCCAAGATTCAGTGGTGAAGAAGTCACAGGAACACAGACGGCCTACCTGTGGTTCTAACTTAAAAGCAAAGAAGCTTAAGCTTCAGGCAGGTGGAGATGACCAACCAGTTGTTCTTGACTGAGTTTCACAGGCTACTTTTAGGATCTAATTGTTTGCTTCTCCATGGACAATGCCATGTGTAAGTTCAGTTTGTTTTAGTAATGATATCTTTTGTAGATTTTTTTTTTAAATAAACAGGCAAACAAGCATCTTCAAAACCCTCAAATCTAGAAAAAGACTAGCAGTCAAGGGGAAAATGCTTCATGCTCTGCTCCCATGGACTGTCAGTAGGCTCAGGGACCTGGGAGGTCTGAGGGAAAACCTTGCCTGTGAAAATGAGGCAAAAAATGCAAGTACCTGCAGTCTTTTCCATGTACTGTGTCACTAGCTCCTCTACCCCTTTGACAAGCAGGAACCGTATTTTTTCCTTACTCTTCCTTTTGCTGCAAAGTTACTTACAGAAGCTCCTCTTACTGCCTTTCACATCCTTTGCTAGTTCCGCCTCCATCTGAGCTCTTACATTTCTTAACTCCCTCCCTGCATGCTCAGGCAATGTCTACTTGTTCTGAATATCTTGTACCTTTTGCCTCCTTTTTGTGTTTGAGCTAGCCGAGGAGTTCTTTTTTCACCTGTGCTGGCTGTTATGCTTGCTGAACCTTTTGCACGTAGGAGTGTAGACCATTTGTGTTTTGAGGAGGCTTTTGGTTTGGAAATCAAGCAGCTCTTCTTGAGTCCCTTTGCCTTCCAGAGCAGCTTCCCTGGGATCCTGACAAGCAAATCCCAGAACAAGCTGAAATCCATTCTCCTGGGGTCCAGAGTAGTGGTTCTACTATGTCTTCCTCACTTCTCTGTCGAGTTTAAAATTCTGAATCATGGAGTCACTGAGCAATGTCTGGGATATGGGCACCTAGTAAGCAACAAACCTGTCGAAGTCTCCAAGTCAGGCTGGTAATGGAAGCCTCTGACCCTCACAGGAGGGATTCTCTGGTAATCTTCCTTTTCTTCATTGTGTGAATGCTTGGCTCAGGTTCAGCTGCACTGATGCATCCCTTTGTGGAGTTCATCATCCTTGTATTTCTCAGGGCACTGTACCTACTCTGCAATGGCAGAGCTGCAGGTAGAAAAGGAGGGGGTTTTTTTATGTTGCTGGAAGCAAGAGGTTTCCAGCCTTTCCTCCTGTGGGAGTATCTATCCACTGCTCCTCTGAGGGTAGTCTTAAGGTTTCCCCTCCTTTGCATCACAGAACTCAGGTGGTCCTTAGCTCTGCAGCATCTCTGTGAAGACCCTGTCACCTCCTGTTCCTCCTAATACAGCTTCCTCATGCAGCAGCTTGGCCCTGCAACCAGAGCACAGCTCATAGGGGTGAGACTGTTGTGGCCATCCCCAGGGAGAGCTGTCAGACTCATGGAGCCCCGGTCTGCTGCAGCACCCTTCCGCTGGAGCCACACGTGGGTCAAAGCTGCTGCTGTGCCAGGTCAGCTTTTCCAGTCCACGTGGACATCGCCATTACCGCAGTTCTGTGCGAAGATATGGCTCATTTCTGTAATATTAACACCTGCTACAGCTATTTGAGTACTTGAGTGTACTTTAGAGAAGAATTTTAAAAGGGCATTGTTACAACACTGTACTACTTCTGACCTGTAGAAGCTTATGAAATATATGTATTTATCCCTTTAAAATACATCTGTTGCTCTTAGAACTAGGTTTAGCTTGTTAGTCAAATAAAAAATTACTACTTCTGTGCTTTCAGAAGTAGCTAAATTTGTTTAAAAACAAGACAACTTTTCTCAATGTGAGCTCTTTCCATTATAAAAATTATACTTTATTTAGGAAATACAGAAAAAACACCACTCAAGAAATACTTCTTTCCCCCCCTTCCCCTGTTGATTTGTCTTGCATTCCAACTACAGATCTCTATTCTAATTAGAAGTGAATCTGGTTGACCCAAGAAATACTCTTCTGCTCTGTAAGCTCTAGAACATAACTGCACTGAAGGTTGTTTACTTTTAAGGCCTAAATGTGAGCTACATTAAACTTAATCTTTGGGAGGTTTCTCAATTCTAGTCTCTTAAACTTTGCTACTCTGCCTATCCATTTGCTTATATTCCTATTGTTTGTGGAAATGGAAAAGAGAAAGCAACTGTAGGAGTGTATTCGTGCTTGCCTGTGGCTTAAAGTAGTGTGTCTCCATTATTTTAAAGAGCAACCTGTCTCTAGGGAGGAATCACCTATGATTCCTTTTGCATAACATCTTGGCTCTGTCAAGGTAAGAGAGAGACAGTGCTTACTGCTGCAAATGTTCTTATGTTCACTCATCTCGCAAAGCTGAGTGGCTGACTAATTCAGTACCTAGCTGGTGAACACTGAGTGTGTTTCTCCATAATATCACAGGTTCTATGCAAGCTTAGTCATAACTATAATAGCCAAGAGAAGAAAGATTATAAAAATCGCTCAGGATTACAAAGTAAGAGTAGAACAGAAGACAGAAGTTATTAAGATGTTTCACAAGTAGTGGGAACTGGATCATTCAGAAATTATGGTATAATTTTAATTGAGGTTTGGAATTAGATTGAAACTGATACTATTTTTTTTTTTCCTAGAAAGGCAGGAAAATTAATTTTGAAGTTGAACACTGTCAGGACCTGAGGCTGAACATGAGAAGACCTCAGTGTAGTAGGTACAAAGTGATAGATGATAAAAAGAATGCTTGAGCTATTACCTTGATGAGTTTGGAGAAACATGAGCTGTTACTGAAAATTGTCATGTTTGGTAACCAATAAGGCCTTTTGCTGCTACTGATAACTCGGTGCTTTCAGTTCCCCTTCTATTTGTCGAGAGCAAGAATAGCTGGGTTGAGGGGAAAGGCCTGAAGAGCAGTTCTGCCCACACTTTCAGTTCCTGAGCAGCAACTGCTGGGCTTTGGTTTTGTTTACACTTAACCTTTAAGCAGTGCTTAATCCCATAAATGCAGATGTTGTGGTTATGCTATTTATTAAAAAGAATCTTTGAACCACATGGAAGTTACAACTAAGAGCAAGTAGTCCTTTCCTTGCCCTTTAGGGTTCTGGATTTCCCCTCTAATTTCTTCTGAACTAGATGATGTATATTGAGCTCCTCTTGCTGTAAAATGCTGCTGGAATGGATTCAGTAACCAGGAAATTACCCTTGTTAACTCCTCTCAACCTAGAACCATCTGACCTCCCTTCTTTCACATGTACTTCAAGAAGTTGCTAGAACACTACTGCCATCTTAATATTTAGATTTGACCAATCATATAAAAGGAAAAGCTTCCTAATAATGGAAGGCTCACTTTCATATAGGAAGTAGGCTTGAGGGAAGTGATACTCTGTTCCAAACAGCCTAGCACTTACACATTCAGACTCACAGAACAGCCCAGGTGTGAAGGGACGTTAAAAACTTTTGGTTCTTTTGCAGTGGAGGGCTTTATGTAAGCTTTTTTTCCATTCCTACTTTTCCCAGTTGAGGACTACTTATGGTTATATAATCAATATCCTCTGAAATTGGCTACTTAAAGTGCATTAACACTGTTTATTTGGTCAGTCCTACCTTCTGCATTGTGTAATTAAGTGGCATGAAGTCTTTTTCTCTCCATGCCAAACAGAAGCTGTAACCTAGGACAGCACACCCTGCGAGCTGAACTGCAGCTATTCTACACTGAAGGTCACAGTCATTCCTCAGCAGTCTGTATGGACTGTGGAAAACCTTCAGCTACATAATAATTTGTCTCCCATTTCAGTAGGGAGAATATTTAACTTTATATGAATAGATATATATACCTGTTGACTTCCTTTAAACATCAGTGTTTCCAGAAGAAAACAGTGGTAAAGACCCAACAGCTACTGCTGACTTTAAGCACTGCTTAGGCATACATGAGGCTGAATGCTACATTTTGATTTTTTTTTTTTTTCAATCTTAGCAGCCACTGATCAGTAAGGCAAGTTCAAACTCATTATAAATGGTTCTGGTAGGTTTCATTTTGGATTCCCCCACAGACATTTAGCTGTATACCAACTTAAATATAAACCAAACATGATTAAGAACATGCTCTTCATCTTTATTTTTCTGGTAGAATCTTGTCAGTGATTAACACTTAGTATTTCACCCATTGTTCAGCTGACACCTTTGCTAGAAGTGTGTGGAATTAATTGATTTAATTAAACTGTCATTCTCTTAATTATTTTTTAAGAGTAACTTTTCTGGGAGAAGTCTTGATATGTACCACCAACTTTGCATTTAGTGGAGTACAACAAAATGTTCCCAGTTTGACCCTAAATAAACAGCACCTCCCTAGTAGCAATTATAGAACAAAATCAAAAGCTAATATGAAACAACCTCTGTCTCTGGATGACACTGTGGAATAGAGAGGACATTAAGGAATAGCTTAAATTGTTGGGCTTTATCACCTAGGCACTAAATTATGCCTAGCAACTAAAAAAGAAGGAACTTGATTGAAGCAAGCCTCTACATACACATCATTATTATTAAACTGCATCTTGTGTAACAAAACACTTGGAGGTTGTTACAACTGAAAACAAACAACCCCCCACTTAAAACTTACTAGTAAGGTAGTTTGTCACTAGTTACCACAAGTCAAACTGGACTTTAGTACCTGCAAAAATTCCTTCCTGGAACCAATAAGTATGATAGTGGGAATGAGGTGAGGGCAGGAAGTGGCTAAGACACACAGCTGCTATGAATGTTTTCATTAAGTGACTTTAACAGCTGCCTATTAGGATTCACACAGGCATATGGGACTTGCATTCAAAATAGCATCCTGTACCATCCACCACATGGGCTGGATACAGCAACCTGCTGCACAGGCTCCTGCCAGGGAAGGCCACTGCAGGTGCCATCCACCAGCGGCACTGCATTAACCTTTCCCTGGAGCGGACTGTAGGTTGCTGGAGACTGGACAGGACGCATCAGGGCAGCACCACCACAGCACCTGAACAGCTGAACTCACAAGCAGTAAAAAAACCTGCTCTCAACTGACACCTCATCCTGGAAAAGTCTGTGTTCTGTACTTACCCGAGTAGAAAATACATTAATTTCAAAATTAAAGTTATGGGGGAGGTGGGCGGAGGGAAGGCATCCATCTCGCCATATATTTCAGATGGCATTCTAGGTAGTGAGAGCTCTCGCTGTACTCTAAAGATGTCCTCTGTTAATCTGAGCCAGCTCAGCAGAGATGGGACCGTTAGCTGGAACAGGAGTCTTGAAACCTGTTTTAAGTACTCGCAAGCCTGAGCAGTGGAGGGATGCTAGTGGGACAGTAACACGCTGCGTGACTGCCTTGTAAACATTCACCTGCACAAGTGGCTTTAGGGGCAGGGGCCTTCCTACCCTGGCAGTACTCATGCTGCCGAGGTAAGGAGCACCAGCATATCAAGGCACCCTGGTTGAGAGAAGAAACATGCCAAGCAGCAAGTCATGGGGAAACCAGGCTCTGGTAACCCTGGCAAGCAAATTATGCATGGGTTGGGGAACAAGGAGATACGGGGCGAGCCCAGGATTTAATGTGTTTTATTTACTTTTAAAAAGTGAAGGCTACCTTGCTTTCAAGTGAATGCAGTGCTGTCCTAACAGCACAGTGAAGCCCATGTTTTAAGACTGTTATAGCCCAGTTCTCTTACGTTTATCTAATCTAGATGATAACTCTACCAACGCTAATCCACTTGCTTTTGTTGCTGTATTTCTATGCAGATTGATTTAACTTGTGGGTCAGTATTTTGACAAGATAAGCACAAAATCTTAACAAGGAATTGCATTTATCCCTCATTTCTGGTAATCCTGAGGAAGCAGTTTTATAAGACATATTACTTGGTGTCAAAACTTCATATAAAATGGAAATTAGGTTTTTGTTCAATCAAAATAATCTTCTATATCAATATCTGGATTCAGAAGATCTTCACCATAGGCTGAAAGATCCATTTGATTTAAAATTAGGTTTTCAAAGGTTTCTTCCAAGTCCGTTTCACCAATCAGCACAGCTCCCATCATTCGGCCACTCTGCATCACTACTTTAACATACTCTTGTCCCTTGGTACATCTCAGCATCAGTTCATGGTCTAAACCCAAGCCTTGAGCATTATACTTTCCCAAAACCACCACCTAACAGAAGGAAAAATTAAAATCACTCATACGAACATGCAGTGGCTTTTAGTATTTCTACTGAAAACAGTTCTATGCTCCAAAAGACTGATACAAACAGGGAATTATTTGTCTCTAGGGAACCTTCCCCCTTCATTGGCTTGGAAACCCACAACAGAATTAAAAATCTTCACCTTGAAGTATACACAAAACCCAATAATGAACTAGTTATCACACTGAACTGTGTTGCAATTATCCATGAACAGCAACTTAACAAAATGGAATATATACAGAAATGCAAAGTAGATCAGCTGTCATTCACCAACTGAAATTTGCAATACATCTGTAAAGATCTTTACCCTCTTCAGTTTCAGCGTTCATAGTATGAATGGAGAAAATCTAAATGAAGATTAATTATTATAGAGAGAAAACTGTTTTGTCAATATTAAAGCATCTGCTCATTGTTGGCAAGTGATTAGAGGCAAGCAGTATGTGTTAGTGGTTTAAGACTATTAGACTGTATTTACCTTGTAATTGAAAAATTTTGTAATGTGAGCAAATAGTTCAAAGCTGAAATCCATATCAATGGATTCTCCCAAAGTATCTGCTGCCATGCATTTTGCTGCATACCATCCCATCTGCCTAGCTTGAGTCCACAGTCTCATCTAAAAAAACAAAACCCAAACACACTTAAAAACACAGATACATGTCACTGTGCAGTCACCGACACCCACTGTTCTGCTCTCATCAATGCATACTATGTATTTTCATTCTACTCGGAAAGGCTTAAGAGCTTAGCTTTCAGCCACATAGATAAAATTATCTCTCATCAACACACCCAGGGTTATCTACTTGTTCACTGTTTTCTGCTTCAATTAAACTTTCCTTTCTCCCATCTGTGTAATAGTCCATGATTTACTCTGTAGAGCTGAGCACACAATTGTGTGACTTGATTTACCTGATGCCACAATGGACTAGGTTCCCACGATGCCGTGCAGATATCGCCAGCTGCATATATATCTGGCAGGGATGTACGCATGTGTTTATCTACTTTAAGACCTCCATCTTCACCTACAGCAAACTAAAGTATTTGCACAGATCAGCAATAAGAAAAATAGTAATTTAAACTAAGTAATTGCAGGAGATATGGACACGCACACGACCAGTATGATCAAACAACGCCCATTTATTGAAGGTAAGCAAGCCCTTTTATAGGTTTTTCCTGTGCACGCAAATGGTACGTGGTACAATCCTTATGATTGGACAGTTAGCTTTGTCCATACACTTCAAGCCTTCTCGCGATTGGATAATAAGCGCCACACTCAAATGTCTTTCTCCGCCCAACCCATCTCCTGGAGTTGGTTGCTGAGTTCTTTGTTCTATGTCCTTGCCGAGGCGTGCACATGTGTAGGATTGCTCACATGTCCATTATCTCCCAACATATCCCTCTTTTTGTTTTTGAGCAATCCACATTCCTTGCGGGCTTTTTTGCAACAATTGTTAATACAACAAATTAAGCATGGCAAAATAAACATAACAATGACAACAACTGCCCCCTGTAACAACTTCTTCAACTATTCTGTGAACATAGTTAACTTTCCTATGTAACTTGGGCCCCTACTGGTTTGGAAGGGATTTTAATAAACACATTCAGAATGTATGAGCATTAATCACTTAGAACCACTGCTTGACCTTCTTTCCAAGGCCGCACCCAGGGAGACGGAACGCACCGTAAACCATGATCTGTAAGCAAACATATAACCTCTGCCTGTTAATTGTAGTTTAACAGGTCCTTCCCATTGCCCAGTATTTAAGTTTTTGAACATAACTAACGGTTGCTGTGTGCCCATAGATTGTTCAGCATCACCCTTTATTGCTAAACTGTGAATCATCATTGGTGGTTCCTGATGTTCTCCTGTAAACCTCAAAAAATTCAAAACATAAAACTTTATTTAATCGTTCAGCTGGCATCATACCTGACATTCCCCTTTTTTGTTTTTGAAGCATTTGCTTCAGAGTTTGATGAGCTCGTTCGATGATTGCTTGTCCAGTGGGAGAGTGTGGAACTCCTGTGCAGTGTTTAATGCCCCATAAGATACACAGCGTTGGAAGCGTCCAGAAATACATGCTGGACCATTGTCTGTTTTGATCTTTCTTGGCACTCCAAGGACAGCAAAAGAACTATATAAGTGTTTTTCAACATGTTTAGCTGTCTCTCCAGCTTGAGCTGTAGCCCAAATAGTCATGGAGAAGGTATCAATAACAACGTGTACATATTTTAACCTACCAAATTCTGCTATGTGAGTAACATCCATTTGCCATAATTGCAAAGGTGATAGGCCCTGTGGGTTAACTCCTGTTCCCAGGCCAAACCCTATTTCTTGACAGGATGGGCAAGAGGCAACAATTCCCTTTGCATCCACAAGAGGAATTTTAAATTGTTTATGCAACATTTTTGCTGACATGCAAAAAATTGTGAGATTCTCTAGCTTGTGCAAACAAATTTGGAGAGGGCCCAGACCGGGCTGGAGCAACCAATTGATTGGCTAGTTTATTTCCATACCCTAATCCTTCTTTGGATTGGTGACTTCTGATATGAGTAATAAAGTAGACAAGGCTTCTCTGATCAAGAGTGTGAACTAGTTTTGCAACAGTTTCCCTTCTGTATCAGGCATAGACATTAGGGCTTGACAAGCTATTGACTGCAATAGTCGCAACACTTCATTAGAGAAACTGAATTGCGGATCTACTGTTGCAAAGGGTGCTGTACCTAACAACATTTGCGCTTGAACAAGATAAAGTGGATAGCCTTGTGGTTGTGGCTGAGCTTGCTCATTATTAGCTAATTTAGTCCATGCACTTTCAAACAACATTTTTTGAGATGGAGTTAATATAACTGCTGCTATTTGATCAATATCTTTTGGAATTAACAGTGATGATGAAAAAATATAATTAAGAATTTGTTTTGTTAATTGATGATGAAGACCATTTTGCATTACTGAAGCTCTAGCCTTTTCAAGCAATTTCCAATCTAAAGGATCTCATTCATTAGTACCACTAACACTATTAATAGAAACAGGAAACGCTTGTACGCTTTCAGGAATAAAAGACCCCTCCACTATAAGCGTGCACATGTGTAGGATTGCTCACATGTCCATTATCTCCCAACAAGTAATTAAACTTCATCCATGTTAAGCAGCCATCTCATTTGTTACTTTTTAATGGCAGACTCTTAAAAAAAGGTCAATAAATTCACTATTCTGCTTAATGAAAACATTTGAAGATATAAAATTGTATGAATAAACACTATGGGAACCCAGCAAGATCCTCTTCTGGATGCCATGTAGCAACAGAGAAAGAGGAGTAAACAATTTATGGCTATTCATTCTCCCATCTAATCTGACTCAATTAGGAAAAGACTGATAACCACAAGAGAAACATGTTGTTCAAACCTCACATTCTGAAGACTCCATCTTAAAGGAAAGAAAATAGATCCCCTGAAGAGTACCATAATGAAGGATTTTTCACAACTGTCTATATATCAAGTATTATTTCTCCATATTGCAATGCAATCCTGCCCCCTGCAGAATTTTTCCTAAATCATCAAACCTAGAAGCTCTCAAATAAGCAAAGACAATTAGCCTACAAAATCAGAATTTCCTAGCAATCTCTGCATTCTTTTCTCATCAACTTTAAGAACAGATCAGTGTTGCACTTTACAAGTGACCTTCAAATATCCTTTAACATATTTAAAACCCTGTGTATTTAAAAAAAAAAAAGCTAAAATGCTTATATTGAATAAAATTATTTAATGTGAGACTATGAAGAGTGGCAAGATGGTAAGATCCAAAGCATTAAGCATTATTTCTAGAACACGGTGTAAGTTTTTAAAATAGTATTACTGATACCTATGCAGGGAAGTAACAGAGCTTGCCAGATTTCAAATCACACTACATATGTTACAGGGACACCTAAGTCTTAGGACTTAATTTTGTATTTTTACCAAGGCCAGAAAATATGATTGCAAATATCTAATTCCTAACCTAACTTCATAACAGAAGCCTTGAAATATTTCATGGCTCAACATCAGATATAAGTTTTCGTAATTTTCTTTTGCTATATGCAGAGGATAGCATTTTACTTCCTAATCAAAAGAAGCCACAAAACACCAAATACCCTAGCATACTGGTTTTGCCTGGGATAGAGTTAATTTTCTTCATGGTAACTTGTATGGACTTGGATTTGTGGTGAAAAACACAGTAAGCCAAGACCACAAATGAAATTAATTTTTATCATGTAGGGTGTTACCAATACCAATATACTTGTGTTAGTTTGAAATGCTATACAGCATACAAAACCTTTAGCAATCAGTGTTTCATGTCAGAATAGAAGCATAAACCAGATGAAAAAGCTTTTCACCATACTTAAAAAAAATAATCTTCAACTTCCAAAGAAATCAGTATACTTACATTATTGCCATCTAGAAATGGTTGAACATTTGGCACAACTCCAGTTGCACTGACAATGAAATCACATCCATATATTTTTCCATTAGTTAATTCCACATATACAGGCCATAGCACTGAAAAAGGGGAAAATTTTGCCCTGAGAATGTAACCAACAGTTATTTTATTAATTATATCTTATAATAACATACAAAATAAAAAGAAAAAAATATTTCTGAGATATCTAACTGACTAGGTAGGAAAAAATAAAAATTAAAAAAGAAAAAAAAATCAGAGGTTACCTATAACATTTCTTACCTTTACTCAGGACTAGAAAAAAAAGATTTTGAAGTTTAGCTACAAGTCTACTATTAACTTTCTCTAGAATTTTCCTAAATCAAAGCCCTCATTTGTGGGGGGAAAATACTGTGTCCTGCCATTGCTTCAGACCTGTGGGATGTTCTCTGAAGTACATAATTGCCAAATATTCTTTATATATAAATTTACAAATGCACAGGAAATGCCTAAAAAGCAAAAAGAATGTCAGAGATACAACTTCCTACAATGTTATGCTGAAAGTAACTGGCTATTAAAATAGTATGTTAAATATTAAGTTCAGTGTAATTTATAGATAGAATTATTCATGAAACAAGTAATATTTTCTTCTACTTTCTTTGAAGGATTACTTCAGTTTTGACACTAAATGTTTTGGGGTTTTTTGCTTCTGTTTTAACTCCACTGTTAATGTATGGTTTTACTGGATTGTCACACAGAGGGAATATTCTGCATACAGGATTTAGGTGACTTTGTGGAAAAAGGGTCTAACCCATAACATTTTGTAATTTAATCGTAGCCCACAAATCATATTGTCAACTATTATAAATTGCTAGATCTGAATTTATAGAAATAAAGGATTTATTTTTGAAATCTGTAGTTGCTCTAAAACAGAAAAAAAAGAGATCAAACATGCTCCAGCACTGCTTTATCTTCAACAGGTTATTTCTAATCAGCACTGGCACTTACCTGTGTCTGGTTCTGCATGTTTCTCTTTCTTCGGAAACGCCAAAGAAGTCCGTTTCAGTTGTATAAATTCTTGCTGTAAGTGTATTTTCTTCACTTCACATAGTATTTCAATATGTACTTTATGAGAAAACTAAGATTGACAAAATTGTAAATGTAATTAGCAATAATAATATTTTTAATAGCAAGTATACCTTCACCTAAATCGACATTACTAAACCGGAAAAAGACCAATCATATATCCCCTCCTAAAGCATGACACGTTAGCTGAGTTCCCACACTTTTTCCTTTTTTGGCACTGATCTAACCATAGCAAATGGCAATTTACCTGCTTTTTCAGCAGGTCTCCGATGTTCCTTGAAATTTCATCACAAATTAGATTTTTCTAGCATGCCAGAAAACATGAAGTTCCCTTGAGTTTACAGTAAGAGAATTCAAGACTTACCAGAACATAAAAAAAGTGAACTCATCTTTTCTATCTTTCAGGATTTTAAACCCTTCATTTTTCCACCATGGATTAAATTCTGATAACAATAATAAATTTATGTTCTAAATGCTGTAAAAAAAATAGAAAATATAGCCTGTTCCATCTACCCGTGTTTCAACCACTTACTCCTATTCTGAGCTCTAGACAGAAGTTGGAAAATTAGCTGTTTCTCCAAAGTATTTTGTGGATTCAGACCTTGAACAGTTTTATTCTCCACTGCACAAACTTATTTCCACAGCATTCAACAACCAGAATACCACTCATTCATCTGCTGAACATCCTAAACATCCTTTAGTTGGTATTGTAAAGCCATTTCTTTAGAATCTATGTTCGATCACTTTTGAAAGATCTTTTTTTTTAAATGCATGTAACAGATGCAAACACCTAACAGCTAAGAAATTAATCAATAAAAACCTGATAAAAACCCTACGAAATAGGAGGATTTTTACTTTATTTCAAACATGAAACTCTTCACAATGGCCATGTCCACTACTGATTTTGCATTTCATTATCTGCTGTGACAGGAGACTGATGTTTCCTGTACCTCTGTACAAATCCTCCTGTCCTATTTTTCACATAAGAAAATGTATGTATGGCAGCTAAAATCAGGACAACAGAGGTACCACTGCTTCTAGTTAAAGCTAGGATTGACCCTGCTCCTACAGAAACATGCAAATCAACATTTATGTTTCAATCTGAAGGGCAAATTGCTAAAACTGTGCCAGTGGATCTGATTAGCCACCTTTTTCCTGAAGCAGAAAATTAATTTATTTGTGTTAACATATTTTCCTGTTTAATTCTGACAGAACAGGAGAATCATTTCAAGCACATTTTAGTTTTATTTTTCTAATAATCCCAAATGTGACATTTCATGCTCTTCCTTACCCACTTACAGCAATATATAAACAAATATGTAAGCAAGATTATGACCATACGTCTTTAGTTCCTTTAAGATGTAAGCCTTCATGCCAGTCAGGGCCTAAGGCACTGCCCAACTTGTCAGATGCTGCTATAAGGCCTTCTTTTTCCTCACTTCCTGAAGGAAAGAGATGAAGAATATCAGATTTAGCATGCATACTTCATTGCCCACAGAATTCAGAACAAGGATTCTCAATTAAGAGAAATAGGAACTGGTTGCAAAAAGGGAAGAAAAAACGCAAACCCCATTAATTTGCAGACAAATCAGACTCCAAGCCAGTATTCTGGATCCACTCTCAACTTCACAGCTTTCATTACTTCACTCATCTCCAAAACAACCATGCCGCTGTTAGGTGCCTGCATGGACCCTTAACAGCCAGACAGACCCCAACTGCACCAGGGTTCTGGAGACCCACTGCAGACTTAGTTGCTTAATATCACTGCTAATATTTAAACCTATGTCCATGTGCCCTACATTGCACAAAAGTGCAAATTCTAACATACCATGATACATACGAAGAATGTTTGGTGCCCTTTCGTGAATTTTAGGCTGACTCTTTTACAATTTATTCTTCCAACCCAAAGTCTACAACCATACTTTTTGTTATTATTCTGGTCATATATATGTTTGTATCAGGTTTGTTCATGCATTTCTAGTTAATTGTTGTTGTTAAGACTGAAGTTTCACTGCATATGTAGTAATGTTCTGTGAGGATTCATCTTATCCTCCAATGGCTTATTACAGGAGAGTTCCTTCTTACATAATGCTGACAACAGCAAAAATTAAAATATTAAAATATTATAAACATTAAAATATTATAGAAAATAGAAGAAGCTCTTCAGCAGATGGAATACAGGATGAAATGTAAACTTGGCATAAAGCCCTTTTTTATAGTTTGTAGGTAACTATTACATGCTGTCACGTGTCTACATAAATTCTGGATGGGTTTTTACATCACTTTTTAAAAGAAGGAAATACCATTGATGATAACAGTAAACCTTATTTATGGCCTCTTAAATTAACTGATCTTATGACTGTCTTTAATATTAAATATTGCTGCTGCAGTGTTAGGAGAGTAAAACACCATACCTTCCATTGTATACTTGGTTCTTTTACACTCAATTGGAGTTTCTCGTTTTTCAGTAGTTAGCTTTGGAATGAGAAATTCAGCTGCTCCTGCATCAAAAAAAGTGTTCCCAATGGCTTTGTCTTTGATAGCCCAGATTACTTCACAGCCTTCAATTTCATACCTGTAGACATTTAAACAAGGGATAAAGTGACAAACTATCTGAAAAGGATCTGGCTCTTAGCAACACAACTAGAAGCACGCCAGGTTTCATTCCAGAAGCTAGAAATAAGGGATCACAGACTTTTAAACCTATCAAATCCACTATGCTTCTAAATAACCTATTTAAAAAAAACCCAACAAGTCTCTTCCAAGCTAACAGGTCATATCAGCACAACCCTGACTGAATTGGATCACAGGGTGACGGAAGGCAGTTCAAATTTATTATAACAGTAACAGTTATTTCCTGCTCTCCACAATGAAAAAAAAGTGTGGTTTTGCCAGACTGCTCCCTGCTAAGAACAGGGATTTGGACCTTGTTTGTACTACCTGGAACACGAACAGGTAGAAACATGCAGAGGACAATTTTAGTGAAAGTGAAAAAGTGATTCCCTGCAACACAAACCAAGACCATATAATTACGTAATACAGGTAGTTCTGTAATCTAGCAGACTGCAGGATCACATGGTTCCATATCCTACCTGTGACAAAGGCCATGCCAGACACTTGAAAAGCTCCATCAATTTAAATTAGGCTGGGTGCAAGATAAGGTGCCTCTTTATTCCTGTTACATCTTCTGTCTCCAGATGTCAAATTTTAGAACTTAAATATTGCCCTTAATGGTCTTAACAGAAATCTGTTGGTGCCAAATCAGAAAAATGCTGTATATTAAGCTGCTTCTGAAGCTTACTGAATTTTGTAACAGTAAGCACCACTATACTGCAAAACAATTATTTTAATTGATTTTACGCTAAATGCTTTAAGAGCTACAATTTTATGACAACCTTCTCCCAAAGTCATGTACAGTAGATTTAACATTGCACTGTTAAAGATTTTATTTGCATATATATCTTTAAAATGTAGTCATTTACTTACACTAATTCAAGTGCAATCCCACCATTTCCTACCACTACTATTCTCTCAGCTTGAGCCAAATTCTTCTGAAAAGCCTGCATTAAGGAAACAAATCAATTACAACTGAGATTGTATATTCCTTCACACTGATCAATATCCTTGTCAATACTTTGCTTAGTTTTCTTATTTTCATTTTCTCAGACTAATGATAAACATTTGTTATGCTAAGATCTGTTATAGAAGCTAATGAAACCTGTAAAGTTTGATCACATTAAGGGATGAAGTTACTGATACAGCTTTGCAAGTCTCAAATTGAGACAGAAGCAGTTAAGTAATTATATTTAAGCCAATTTGACAGAGGCCTTAATAGAATCCAGGAGATTTTTCTCTATGCTAGAGATCATTAGCATTGTGATGGCTATTCATCCAGTTTTATCACAACTTGCATAACTTTCACAGTTATTTGCATACCATTAAAAAGGCAAAGCTACAGAAATTTACAAATTTAAAAACTCCTGATCAGAAATCAGGAATTTAAAAGATAATTTGTAGCAAATAAGGGAATCAATTTTATTTGTGAAAAAAACTTTCAGAAAGAAACAAGTCTCCAAATCACATCTTACAGTCCAGATAGTATTTTTTAGATCACAGTATACTTCTTTCAAACCAATCAAGAATCATGACTGTCAGACCAACTAACTATTGCAATTACATGAAAATCTGTCCGTCCATGCTTCCAGTTTACCTGAGTATTTGTGTCAGAGAACCTACACTGTAAAAGACCAGGAAAACTGCAGTCATTCAATCCCTTCAAAAAAGGATACTGAAGTTGTATCAGAGGGGATTAGTCAATGCAACCAATCACCATTAGAAAAAAAACAAACAAAAACCCAGAAACAAGTATTTTCAGCCTCATTCAAAGTTCAACATCAGTCTTGACAAATGATAGCCCTGTCTACTGTTTCCCACAGTGGCCAACAGTGGATGTATAGGGAAGACCATCAGAAGATGACAAAGCACATGCCAATACTATCCTGGAACACCCTCACAGGTTCCAGGCACCACTAGTGCCACTCAGCTGGCATCCTTCTTTTCATTTTAGACAAGATACATTTATCAAGGGCTGTCTTTGTGTGGTTTTCCTTCCCTCTTCTATCTTTTTTTTTCTTTTTTTTTTTTTTTAAACTCAGGTAAATTTTAATATCCAAAACAAACAACAATTTTGTATTTCACTGCAGTCTGATGGAAAAAAGTAATTCCTCCTTTATTCTCACTGTCAATCTCCATTTGATGAATTACAGTTCTTATGTTATGGAGAAGTAATGTTCACTTTCATCCTGCCTCCTCTAATTCTAAAGACCTAGAACAGTGAAACCTCACTTTCTACTTCCAAGATGCAGACTAAGTCAGTCCTCATGTGAAAACTTTTCTACATCTTTGACTATAACTGTTTTCTGTACAATGTGGAGCAGCTACAGTAGAACTTCATTGTAAGAAGTAGCCCTTCGTACCATGTACCAGATACACCTTCTCATGGAAGCTGGTACTCATGGAAGCTGGTACTTCCTGTTTATATTTTCAGATTGGTTTCTGCCTGTAGGGTAAAAGGCTCCCATTTATTCTAGATTATCATGTTAGAAATACTGTCTATGATCTATCTATAAACTTAATAAATTTAGTGACTAATAAATTTATTTAACAGTATTTTAAGACTATTTCTCTGCCTACTGAAAATGTTCCTATTTAAGGGTATATAGTAACAAACATCATCTTATGTTTCTCCGTTTTACTCTGCAATCTTTTTTAGTATTTTGCATCAGAAGCAGGAACATATTATACACCAGTAAGTCCAAAACATTTACCTGTGCACTGTCAGTATCCCGGATTCCTAAAACATATGGGTTTCCTTCAAAAATTAATTTTGGTTTTGCCCCAGCACACAGGCAAATTTTTTCATACATATATTCTTTTCCATCTTCAGTGAAAATTTTCTGTTAAAAATTTAGAGAAAAGAAAAAACAATTGTAGACATGAAAGAGAACATCAGCATTTTCTCCATACTGTCATAGTATTTTGCAGATATTAAAAGCCATAACCATGTTATTAAAGAGCAAGTCTTCATACTCTCATTGATTGTGTGTCATTCATTTCCATTACATTCACCATAGACTTACAAGCATAAGCATATCACATACGACTGAGGAAATGGAAAGTGTACATCGTGCAGCCAAAGAAAGATAAAATATAAAGATTACCACTTGGTGGCACTCTGTGCTCACTGTCTATGCTAAAGAACAGGTTGTCTATGTGACCAATGTCCCTTCTAACCTAGTAATAGATGTAGACCTATGCACTACTATGTATTAACGATTAAGAATCTCATTTAAAAATTTCAGCAATGGTAGACCTGTGTTAACTAGGCACAGGCTAGAATACAGTTTAGAAAGACAATAAATTCTGTTCTTTGCTAAATAAGAAGGGTAGGCACTAAACAAGCTACAAATTCTGCAACAAGCAATACTTAAATTTTATAATTTTATGACCTTGTTTGTTGTTTTCCAAACTAGAAGCTAAATAGTTTACAGTGGTTTTGCACAAAGAGAGTTTTTAAAGGTTTTTGGCAAAAGATTCTCCAAATCCATATACATGAAATATTTGTGTCCACAGAGACATACCTAAACTAAACCACCATTACAGTAATGATACAAAAATATCATTAGATTCAGAATATTAGCAGAATCTAGCTGGAATATCTCTGACTTAAAATGAGCAAAACCAGTTTTGGATCTGAATGTGACTTTCTGATAAATGCTGAAGTGAAAAATAACATGTTGAGCTGACACAGACACTAACAAAGATCTGTACATGCTGTACACTGTTCATACTTGCAACATATTTCCTGCTAAAAAGAAAAGGTGGAAATGCTGGTTCTTTCAGGAGGTTTGGGGTTTTTTTGTATCATAAAGTTGTTAATATTCTGATCTCTGTAGCAACAAGCAGTAATTCAGGAATCAGAGATCTCCAATCAAGGGCTACAGAAATTTTCAGACACTTATTTTAATATACAGTATTAGTTTCACTGACTGTTTTCCCTGCAATTTCAATCAGATATTCAATGCAGTATCTCTAAGGTGTCAAAAATTGATATCTAAAAGATATGGTTTCTTAATTACCAAGTAATTTTTTGCCAACAATTTTGTCCCCTCTATATATTCCTACTTGAACAGTGTGATAAGTAAAATTAAAGTTAGGAAGTATTTTCTTGTAATTTTGGTAACTTAACACTTTAGTAACCAGAATGCTCTTGAACAGAATTTCACACCCAAAACATTCACCTGTTTCTTAGATATTTTTTTTAATAAATAATTTGAAAAAATCACATAAAAGAGAAAACATTAGCTTACATGTTCATCACTTTTCAGTTGTTTTACTCCAGACTGTATAACTTTAATATTGGGATATCGTTTTTCTAATAGAGAACTTGGTTGCTCTTCTACATCAAAGTCCTCAAGTGTTTTGGAGACCTGTAGGGCAATGACAGGTATTTAGAAATACAAATCATTTATCCATCGCTTTTTCTAAAGCTTTTAACAAAATGTGTTATGTTTATTTTCCAGTAAAGAAGTCACAACATAAAGCCCATATTGTCTGACAACATGTTATCATGTTACTGCTAAATGTTCCTTTTTAAATACAGAATCTTTTCATGTCTATTCCATGTAAAGAGTCGAAGTAGTACACAGAACTTTAATTCTAAAGCTAGAGGTTAAGCAAAAATGGAGAACCCCAATGGCTGCTCTAATGTTTTATTCTATAGACTACATCATTAGAGTTAACACTGCTTTTTAACTTACCTGATGCAGCATAAAGACCCTGTTTTTCTGTTTGTTTTAACTTTGATAAAATACCTGATTGATGTTCTCTCTTGCCCTCTCCTTGGCATTTTTGGGAAAAAAAAAATTTGGTCAAGATAGCTTAAAGAATTATAGAAACACTTTTGAATAGAATAAATATTTTTATTCTATTTTAAAATAATAATCTGGTAACATTTTCTTCAAAAACAATGATTCAAAGACATCTTGTTGCAGGTAGTTGGTCCTTATTGTCAGCAAAAGGGCTTACTGTTGTTCAGCTTGTACGCAGGACATATAAGACAAGTGTCTAGGCAAAACAGATTCAAGATCACCTCTAAGCATTTACTCAGTTAGCATCTCATCCACAGTCACTATCTGGTATTTCAGAGACTGAGGCAGGGGAGGGCAGGAAAAAGGCAACTCAGAACTTGGAAAACACTCAAGGGTGTTATGCTGATTTTGGGTTTCTTCCAGAAGGGAACAGCTGCACAGCAATCTCCAGGCCTTCTACTTTATAGAACATTCAAAGAGTCTGGAACACAGTTAAGAACCAGAATCCACACCATGCTTGCAATTCAGAGAGAAATTAAGATGCTCATGACTAAAATTTAGATGCTGCTACCTTCAAATGGTGTTTAGCGATTCCCTTATTCTTCAAATACTGAAAATTCTGCTGATGTGAATTACAGACTTTACATCCTTGCGACATGTAAATGTCAGCACTCTCAAGCTCAGAAGATATTCTTTAGTTGGGTGTTACTCTACCAGTCTCACACAGAGCTCTTAGACTCCCAGCTATGTTCTGAGCATCCCATTAGCCTTGGACAAAAACCACAGTGCAAAAAGGAAGAGATGCTGATAGCGAATTACAACCACTAAATGCAAAGAACTGTTGTTCAAATCTATCTGTGCTTTGTTTTCCCCCTGTAGTGATTTAAATTAGGCATTCATACACCTGGAGGAATTATGTTATAACCGGGCTGATAAACTGCAGAGTGGTTTTTACATGTCATGAGATATGCCTCACTTGTTAGATACCATGTTTCAGAGAGTCATGAATATAAATGCCAGGTGGAAGCCCAGCTTTCAGTGTCTTAACTTTCCCTGAGACGTAAACCCTAACTTCTTACTGGCTGGCAGCTTTGTAGCCTGAGTTCTGTGCAATCCAGTCTTCAACTCTTTCCATGCTCTATGGTAGAGTTTAAAGTTCCCTCAGAGTGGGAAGAGCAGCACTTTCTAAGATCCAAGTACCTCTGTGAAACTAGCTTAATGAGCCTACGAGCCAGAAATCTGAACTCATGTATGGATTTCATTTTCTTTTTCAAATGAGTAGGAAAGAATCAATGAATCCAGCATGGAATCACCAGTTGCTGGAGATGCAGATAAAAGCTGAAAGCAATTCCACAGAAAGCTATCCCTTTTTTTGTTACTTGCCAGTTTCTCAAACACACTACTGTATATGAGAACCACTAGCAAGACTAAATTTCTTGAGCATTTTTTCCAAAGATACCACTTCAGTGCTTAAAATGGATCACCCATTAACAGAGCAGTGAAATAAAGCTTCAGTAACTTAGGAAACACTTCAACCATATAAGTACCCAGTTTTACTTCTTCTTGAATGTTGTGAATACATTCAACAATTACTAAAGATTATGAATCACTACAAACTATCTCATCAGTCCTATTAACACCACTACAGACACAATAATGTGAAAAAAAATTCAAAGGCATAAGCATTTTCAGGATGAGGTTCTAATCTGTACATGTACAAACTTCTGAAGAGGTCTTACCACAAGAAAAATTGTCTCTCTTACCTGTTTGAAATTGGTTATAGCTTTTATAACTGGAGAAGTTGTCACTAAAAAAATATCTTCTGATGGGAATTCCATGGCCAGCTTGTAAAGAAGCAGAAATCATGATGAGTGAATACAGCCAATAAAAGACAATAAAATTATTGGTGAAAAGGAGTATGTGTTACTGCATTACTTTAGTCTTGTAGAATTCTATTGGACAAACGCTATTTAAGATTATGGAAGCATAATGACTGAAATGAACAGAATTTGAAGACCCAAGATTTTCATTCATTCACACACAAATATATCTTCAAGAACTACAGCCATGGTATAAATGCCTCCTCAAAAGACTATTCTCACAGTATTCTGAAGGCCAGCTGTAGGAACAGACTATGTGATTTCTGGACACACCCAGTTACTGCATGTACATTTTTTTTATTGCATAGCAGTGACTAATTGTTCACAGATTTTGTTTTGACAGAAGACATGCTGATTCCTATTGGCTATTTTAAATGTTATTTAATAAACTAATAAGTGGATTGTCGTCTTCAGGGTGCTACTAAGCAATACAAGACTTTTACAGTCCCCATGCCAAAGTGAAGAGTTCCCATTTCAAATATACATTGCTCTGTCACAGAAAATAAATGAGTTCTTTCAAGTACAAACCACTTATCTCTGAAGCACAGTGTTCCACATCACCAGCATTCTACAGATGAACAGAATGGTCGTATAAGCCACCAAGAAGCGTATTTCATGTTGTGCATGACCATCTGAGCTATAAAGGGACTAACATGTATTCCTGTACCTCAGATAGGAGCAATCTAACATAGTAATCTGAAGGTGAGAGGGGTCAAACTTTGTTGCTGATTTAAAGGAGATTCACATGGTCATACCATTGGCAAATATAAATGAATTTAACAAGGCGATGTAAAACTTCATGTAATTCACACTTTATAGCATGAATCCCTAACGTGTTTCACACGTACTGTATAGCTGTGTGCTTTGTATTGACAGACAACAGCAAAAAGGTTGACATGTAACACACTGCTCTATCTAATAAGCCTCAGAAAAACTATAGAACTCTATGGAAAGCACATGATTATGTTCGGTATCTTTACTAATGACAGATAGTGGGATTGAGTGCACTCTCAGCAAGTTTACAGATAATACCAAACTGAGTGATGCAGTTAGAGGGAAGGGATGCCATCCAGAGGGACCCTGACAGGCTTGAGGAGTGGGCCCATGGTGAACCTCACACAAAGTGCACTTTGGGGCAATCAGTAGTCTCAGTACAGACTGGGGGATCAACGGATTGCAAGCAGCCCTGCAGAGGAGGACTTGGCGATACTGGTTGATGAAAAATCAGATAAGGGCTGTCAATGTGCACTTTCAGTCCAGATATCAAATTATGTCCTGGGCTACATAAAAAGAAGTGTGTGCAGCAGGCTGAGGTACACCACCTGGAGTACTGCATCCAGCTCTGAGGCCACCAGCACAAGACAGACATAGACCTGCTCAAGCAGGTCCAGAGGAGGCCACAAAAATGACGAGGGGGCTGAAGCACCTTTCCTGTGAGGACAGGCTGAGAGAGTTGGGGTTGTTCAGCCCGGAGAAGGCTCCAGGGAGACCTTATTGAGGCCTTTCAAAGGGGGCTTATAAGACAGAGAGAGACTTTTTACCAGTGTCTGTAGTGACAGGACAAGGGGTAAGAGTTTTAAACTGAAAGAGGGTAGATTTATATTAGTTATGACTGATGGTGTCAGTTGCTCCCATACATAAGAAGAATACACAAGAAAATCCCCTTGCAGTGTACAGGGTGATGACGAACCAGGCTCATCACAAGAACAGGAGGAGGCAGAGCTAGTGATAGTCACCTGATCCTTATCCCTGAGCGAGTTGTGAAAAGATTTCAGCTGCCATCCAGGTGAGCAACTCGTTACCTGCCTGCTGAGGTGCTGGGATAGCAGGGCCGTGGAATCAGAGGGTAGGGAGGCCAGGCAGCTGGGATCCCTGTCTAGGGAAGGGGTCATCGACAAAGCCATTAGAAAGAAGACACAAAATCTCAGTCTCTGGAGGCGACTCCCATCAAATATGAGGGAGAGGTATCTCTTCAAGGAAGATTTTGTATGTCATTCAAGTAAGTGGTGTGAGAGCCGAGCAACCAGGCCTGTGAAAAACTAAGACAAACAGCTTGGGAAAGCAAAAGTTGAGGCTGATTGAAGATTTGCCTCAAACACTCCCAAGACAAAACCATGAGTCACAGGGTGCTTTCTGTGGAGGCCGAAGCTGATAAGGCTGCCCGATGTATCTGGGGGAGAGAGCCCTGTGGAGACAGGACGGCTCTGCCCTGGGGCACCTGGGCAAATTTCAAGGGCCATGTGTCCGGTGAATGAACTTTGCTTCATTATCCACGAAATGCATATTAAAGTTGACACCCCTCAATATGCTAACGAGGGCTGTCATGATGATGCTAGTGACATCATCCCATGAAACACCTTACCCCTCCCCGTACATGGGATACGTAGGTCTGTGGGTTGACCTAGGGGACGGACCCAAGGAAAGTGGGTATAAATCAAAGGGGAGAAGAAAGGGCTCGCTCTCTGCCCCTCTTCCTGTCCCGTCCCCCCCCACCCCCGGCCGTCTGGAGAGAGCAGTGAAGCAAAGACGACGGATGCCAGCGAAGAAGATAGCTGCCTCCTGGAATCCTCACCGGCAGGAGCAGCGCAGGAACCCAGACCGGTGATCTGTACTCCCCCATTCCCTCTATCTCCCTCTTTTCCTTTTTTCTGTTAAGAAATGTAAAGCATATTATATTGCTTGCCACAGCTTGCTCTGTACTTAGCCAGTATATCATGTGTTCAATTAGTGCATTGTAGGTAGTTAATAAATGCTTGAACTTGGAGACTTGTTGTCCGCTCCAATTGGGGATTTGCGAATCTGAGTCACTTGTCCCCCTCGCTGGAGCGGGACGTGACAAGTGGACCACTATGGAAAGATGCATTCAATACCTGAGGGAGCTAGCTGTGCAGTAAGGTCAAGGGACCTGCACAAGAGATTCAGTTTTTAGGAGTAAACTGGCAAGATGGATGTTGTCAGATTCCAATGGAGGTGATTAATAAAATAACAGCTATGTCCCCACCAGCTAACAAAAAGGAAGTGCAAGCTTTCTTGGGTGATGTGGGTTTCTGGAGACTGCACATTCCAAATTACTCAGATTGTAAGCCCTCTCTATCAAGTGACCCAGAAAAAGAATGACTTTACATGGGGTCCGGAGCAATGACAAGATTTTGAACAAATTAAACAGGAAACAGTTCATGTAGTAGCCCTCAGGCCAGTTCGGACAGGACAAGATGTCAAAAATGTGCTCTACACTGCAGCTGGGAAGAATGGCCCTACCTGGAGTCTCTGGGTCAACCCCTGGGGTTTTGGAGTCAGGGATACAGAGGATCTGAGGCCTGCTATACTCCAACTGAAAAGGAGATATTGGCAGCATATGAAGGAGTCCGAGCTGCTTCAGAGGTGATGGGGACTGAAGCACAGCTCCTCCAGTGCTGAGCTGGATATTCAAAGGGAGTGTCCCCTCCACACATCATGCAACTGATGGCACGTGGAGTAAATGGGTCGCATTAATCACACAACGAGCTTGAACAGGGAGCCCCAGCCATCTGGGAATATTGGAAGTGATCACAAATTGACCAGAAGGCAAAGATTTTGGAATGGCACCAGAGAAAGAGGTGACGTGTACAGAAGAGGCCCCACCATATAATAAACTACTGGATAATGAGAAATGATGTGGCCTGTTTACTGATGGGTCCTGTTGTGTTGTGGGGAAACATCGAAGGTGGAAGGCAGCTGTGTGGAGCCCCACACAATAGGTCACTGAAGCTGCTGAAGAAGGTGGATTGAGTCAAGTTTGCAGAGTTAAAAGCTGTCTTGAAAGTTTGCCTTGGATATCACTGAGGGAGAAAAGTGGCCAGTGCTCTGTCTCTATACTGACTCATGGATGTTGGCAAATGCGCTGTGGGGGTGGTTACAGCAGTGGAAACAGAGCAACTGGCAGCGAGAGGCAAACACATCTGTGCTGCTGAATTAAGGCAAGATATTGCTGCTCAAGTAGAGAATCCAGCTGTTAACAACCAACAGGCAGATCAGGCTGCTAAGGTCAAAGTGGCTCAAGTAGATCTGGACTGGCAACATAAGGGTGAACAATTTATGGCTTTCTGGGCCCATGACTCCTCAGGCCATCAGGGAAGAGATGCAACAAGAGATGGGCTGGTGACCGAGATGTGGACTTAACCATGGATGTTATTACACAGGTAATCTATGAATGTGAGATGTTCTATGATCAAGCAAGACAAACGGGTAAAGCCCATTTGGTATGGAGGACAATGGTTAAAATATAAATATGGGGAGGCCTGGCAGATTGATTATAACATGCCCCCACAAACTTGGCATGGCAAACACTATGCACTTGCAATGGTGGAAGCAGACACTGGATGGGTGGAAACTTATGCCATGCCCCTTGCCACTGCCCAGAACACCATTTTAGGCCTGGAAAAGAAAGTCTCATGGTGGCATGGCATGCCTGAAAGGACTGAGTGAGATAATGGGACACATTTCCAAAACAACCTGATAGACACTTGAGTCAAAGAAAACGGTGTTGAGTGGATATATCACTTTCCTGTAAGGGACTGTGTCAGCCTTTTTGTTTCGGCATTGCTGTCACACCATTACACCCCTTCCACAGCTGCAGGGTGGTGTAAGATGGCAGCTGTCTGTTTCAGCACCATGCCATTTCATAGGCCAGGCCTCCACATCCCTTTGCTGGGAGGACAAAATCTGCCTAGAGCCAGAAAAGCTACATGTGCGTGCAGGGCCGGGGGACAAGGGGGACATGTGTAAGCTGAAGGTGTCAATGGCTGCCCCCCCACCTCCCAGGGACGACTGTGGACATCTGGGCATGGGCACATGGGGAAACTGGGGTGGCAAATATGCAAATGAGCTTTGTGGCAACAAGCAAAGTAGTGGTGGAGACTGTATAGAAGGGTTTGTGTGCTCCTTTCTGGTGAAGCTTCTCACTTGTGGTAGTTTTTCGCTTGCCTTTGCTATATCACTCTCCGAAGCTTTGGCCTGCTGAAGCTCTCACCTGCCAAACCTTCTCGCTTTTGCCTGCCGAAGCTTTCATCTGCCGAACTCCCTCACTTGCCGATGCCTTCGCCTGCTGGCTTTCTCCCCATTGCCTGCACTGGGACTGGACCAGCAGCATCCTTCCCCACCGCCTAGCAGATTTCCCCCCATCGCCTGTAACGGATTCTCCATCACCTGCGGATGCCCCCCCTGCCCTGAACCGGGACTGGACTGCCACTAGACACGTGGTGGCAGCATTCCCCATCGCCTGCAGGAGCCACCCCCATCGCCTGCACCCCAGCCGATCAACAGGATGCCGCTAGACTTGTAGTGGTGATAATTAGTATTGCTGCTTCTCCTTTTTATTTACTTGCTTAGGTATTCTGACTTTTCCTTTCTTCCTTCTGTCCTGTTGCTGTTACCGGTTTGTTTTGCAAAATAAAGCTTACAAGGTTGTACAGCATCTGACCCTGTTAGCACCTTAATCTCGCTCTTGGGATCATTTAAAAACCCTTCCCAAAATTGGATCGGGACAATTCCCTACCATGCACCAGCCTCTGGGAAAACTGAGTGATACAATGGGTTGCTAAAATCTACACTGAGCAATGGGTGGTGGAACTTTCAAACACTGGTACGTGCATTATTCAATACCAGAGGATCCACCAAGCAAGCTGGCCCTGCTCAGTCAAACCTCCTACATAAAGCCCCCACAGCACGTATTAAAAATATGCTAGGGAAGACAGTCTCCTGCCTTGGGAAAAGGTCAACCCACGTGTGGGATTACTTTTACCCAAGGACCTGGGTGTACTTGATGGGTAATGCAGAAGGATGGAGATTTTAACAATCTCTGATGTATGCCTCAAGGTTGTTTGATTTTAGGTGGAAATAGACAATGAATCGATCTGTCAAATAACCCTGTTATTGCAATTGGTGTCTCGCAACATCTTCCCGACACATCCAAAGCCTCCTGCTCCACAGACTGTGCCAACTCCACCTCATTCCTCCAGCCTTAAAGACTGTCACGACAGATGAACCCAAAGTTACGGACTAAACGAACTCAGTAAACATTTTGGAAGGATGGCCCATAGGCAAAGGGAATGATATCTGTGAGACCCAGGAGAGGGATTGTGATTCCTTAGAATGTATTTGGAAGCTGAGCATGATGCCAATGGTATGGAATAAGGGCGGAGACTGTCTTGGTTCCAGCCAGGATAGAGTTAGCTTTCCTTGGGCTGAGAGGGAGCACAGCTGGAAGGCCGGGCCGGGATCGGTCACTGGAGTATTCCGTAGCATGCAATGTCATGCTCAGTGTATAAAGGAGACATGTACTCTCTCAGTTCCATTTTCCGATGGGTGCAGCGGGATCTTTGGAGTGGTCGGGATCGCTGCTGGGGGCAGGCTGCATACCGGTCACCAGGCAGTGAGCAACTGCATTGTGTATTACCCATTTGGACTTATTGTTGTTTTGTTACTATTACTAATTTATTTTTTATTCAACCTATGAATATATTTTTTTTAATCTCTCCCCTATTTCACCAGGGATGGGGGGGCGGGAGTAAACAACTGGCTACGTGGTGATTGGCTACCATCTGAGTTCAAACCACAGGATACTTCTAGAACACACAGTGCCACTTTTAATGGACTTTGTGAATCAAAAAGTATGCTAGAAGACCACTACTATTCATGGCTAACTGTGCTTCCTGCAGTAGTAAAAGCTGAGAAAAAGAAGCAAGTATCCATCATCACATATCAATCTGATCTGTGTAAAAAAAAAAAAAAAAAGGATGAGGGAAAGGAAAGAGCCTAAGAAAAGAGGTGTGAATCACAGCAGTAAGTGGCACTCTTTATGAGCTTTGGAAGAAAACAAAGACTGAACTCTGAAAAAAGCAGAAAGCATTTTAAAGAAAACTATAAATTTTAGTCCCTTTTATAGCAAATTTAAAGGCTGTAGACATCCAATATATGTTGAAAATAACTGTACTGTGAAACAGGATCATAGCAATTAGATACCATTCTAAACCACTTCCAGGAAAAATTCTCTGGGAATATTATATATTGATCCAAATCTTGTTCTTGCAAGTATATAAGGATACTCAAGAGCCTTAATTATGCAAAGCTTAATCAACTTTTAAGGGATTACTCATATTAATATATCATTTAAGTGTCTGTACTACCAGAACCCACATATTGCATTAACCATGAATAAAAGGAAAAAACCCTCAAACAAATAAATAGTAGAAACAAACCAATTGATAAAGATAGAAAACAGTATCAATATTTTTCATAATTTAGTTTGCATGTGGTTTATACAATATGCCAGAAATTAAGTATCACTTCATCACCAGAGAATAGATGCATCTGAAACAGTCTTTATACTGCTTTGTAGTTTTGACAGATAAAATGTTCTTCACTGAACTACAACACCACTTTATTCCACATTATAGGTACAAAATTATCTCCAGTTACTGTTACTTTTAAAACACCAAAAACCAATAAACGAACGAATTTAGAGTTGGAGCCCATGAAAAGCTGAAGAGATTGGACGATCTCGACAGGTGTACAGCCCTAAATATGGATCCAATAAAAACAGAGCAGTATTTTTTTAAAAAAGCAGCCTTCACGTTAGCTGCGGTAAAATCCTTTATCGTTACGAGGAGTAACACATGCAGTGCTCCTTGAAGTTTCCGACATCCTGACTAGCATACAACATGCCAGCTTTCTCAAGTTACAAACGTTTAATCCTCTTGTCATATGCCCGTATCAGGCTATTTGTGTAATTAACGTATAAATGAGAATACTTATGCAAATAGGATGTAAGTCTAATGAACTGTTTCTACTGAAGTTCCGAAGTTGACCCTAAAAGCATTAATGCTTCTGAGCACACACAAAGACCCGAGTAGTCCCCACAGCCGTGGAGGCCGGTTAACCCCGCGCACCGCCGGCCGAGCTCAACCCGCTCCTGTACTTAGGCAGGGCCCATACGCCTTATCACCTGCATACGGGCCCTGACCCGCCCAAACGACAGCTAACATCGTGGGGCCGGAGAGCCTCCTCCAGCAACCCGAGGGTCAAGTCGGGGCCTCAGAGGCGGACAGAACACCCCCGCCCCTGCCGGGGCTGAGCGAGGTGGCCCTAGGCTGGCGTTCGGGGCCAGCATGGCGGCAGCGGCGGCCACTCCTCTCCCCCGCGCCGGCGGCCGACAGCACCTCACGCCCCGCGCGGGGTCTCCGCCGGCTGGGGGCCTGCGCATGCGCGAGCCCTTACCTTCTCGCCGCAGGTGACTCCCGCGATCCCGCCGCCCACCACCACGAACCGACTCCGCGCAACGCC